CCCTCCCTTGCTCATGCTGTCTCTCTCTGTCTCTCAAAAATAAACAAAACATTAAAAAAAATTTATAAAAAATAAATAAATAAATAAAAGAAAAAAATAAATGGATATTAGACATATATGAGCAAAATGTAAAACTATAAAACTTCTACAAGATAACAAGGGAAAAACTAAGTGACTTGGGTCTGGAGATGTTCTAAAATACAACACCAAAAGCATGATTCATAAAAGGAAAACTGACAAGTTGGACTTTATTAAGATTTTAAAATTCTGCTCTATGAAAGACACTGTGGGGTGCCTGCCTGGGAGGCTCAGTTGGTTAAGCATCCAACTCTTCATGATCTCACGGTTCGCGAGATCAAGCCCCACGTCGGATTCCAAGCTGACAAGCGTAGAAGCCTGCTTGGGATTCTCTCTCTCTCTGTCTCTCTCTGCCCCTCCCCAGCTCGCTCTCTCTGTCTCTCAAAATAAATAAATAACCTTTTTTTTTTTTAAGGGACACCATTAAGAAAATAAAGAGACAAGCTTAAGAATGAGAGAAAAGTATTTGCAGAACACATGTCTGATAAGGGACTTGTATTTAAAATATACAAACAACTTGGGGCGCCTGGGTGGCTCAGTCGGTTAAGCGTCCGACTTCGGCTCAGGTCATGATCTCGCGGTCCGTGAGTTCAAGCCCCGTGTCAGGCTCTGTGCGGACAGCTCAGAGCCTGGAGCCTGTTTCAGATTCTATGTCTCCCTCCCTCTCTCACCCTCCCCTGTTCATGCTCTGTCTCTCTCTGTCTCAAAAATAAATAAAACGTTAAAAAAATTTTTTTTAAATATACAAACAACTCTTAAAACTCAACACTAAGGAAACAACCAATCCAATTAAAAAAATGGACAAGATCTGAGTAGACACTTGACTGAAGAAGATATACAGATGGCATATGAGCACGTACAAACTATGTTCACCATCATTTTTCATTAGGGAATTGCAATCAAAACAAGGAAATACCATCACACACCTACTAGAATGGTTAAAATCCAAAAACCCAACAACACCAAATGCTGACGAGGATGTGGGGCAACAGGAATGCTCTCGTCCATTGCTGGTGAGAATGCAAAATGGTGAAGAACTTGGGAAGACAGCTTGGCAGTTTCTCACAAAGCCAGTCTTACCATACGACCTATCGTTGCACTCCTAGTTATTTACCCAAGTGAATTGGAAACTTACGTCGACACAAAAACCTGCATATAGGGGCGGCTGGGTCAGTGGGTTGAGCGTCTGCCTCTTGATTTCGGCTCAGGTCATGATGCCAGTGTCTTGGGATAGACTCCAGCACTGGGCTCCTCTACCTCTCCCCGTCTCGTGCACACACATGCTCGCTCTCTCTCTCTCTCTCTCTCTCTCTCAAAAAATTAGAACTAAAATAAAATAAAAACCTGAATATAAATGTTGATAGCAGCTTTACTCATAATTGCCAAGAACTGGGAACGGCTAAGATGTCCTTCAATAGGTGAATGGACAGGCAAACTGTGGCACATTCATACAATGGAATATTATTCAGTGGTAAAAACAAATGAGTTATAGGGGTGCCTGGGTGGCTCAGTTGGTTAAGTGTCGGACATGGGTCCGACTCTTGATTTCAGCTCAGGTCACCATCTTGATGTTGGTTCAGGTCATGATCTCATGGTTCGTGAGATTGAGTCCCGCGTTGGATTCTATGCTGACAGCACGGAGCCTGCTTGGGATTCTCATTCTCTCTCTCTCTCTCTCTCTCTCTCTCTCTCTCTCTGCATCTCCCCTTCGCGCTCGCTCGCTCTCTCTCTCTCTCAAAAATAAATAAACATTTAAAAGAATAATGGGGAAACTGTAGGGGAATACAGAGCGGTAATGGACCTGCATGTACTCTTTTCTCAATTAATCTGCAAATCTAAAACTGTACTACAGAAATTAAGTCCATTAATTGTTTGAAATGCACTTAGCATACAATCCAGCAATTGTCATTCATCTCCTACAAAATCCTCACACAAATGATCACAGGATCTTTATTCATAATAGCCAAAAACTGGAAACAACCCAGATTCCCTTCAACTAGAGGTTGGTTAAACAAACTGCAGTACATTTATACCATGGAATACTGCTCAGCAAGAAAAAAGAACAAGCTATTCGTAAATGCAACAATCTGCATGAATCTCCGGAGAATTACGCTGAGTAAAATCCAGTCCCAAAAGGTTACATAGTGTATGATTCCATTCCTATGTCATGCTTGATATGACAAAATTACAGAATGAGAGCACAGATTAGTGACAGCCAGGAGTCAAGGAGGGAGTAGGGGGAGGAAGGAAGTGGCTACTAAAAGGCAAGATGAGGGGCGCCTGGGCAGCTCAGTGGGTTAAGCGCCCGACTTCCGCTCAGGTCATAATCTCGCGGTCCGTGACTTTGAGCCCCGCGTCGGGCTCTGTGCTGACAGCTCGGAGCCTGGAGCCTGCCTTGGATTCTGTGTCTCCCTCTCTCTCTGCCCCTCGCCCACTTGCGCTCTGTCTCTCTCTCTCTCTCTCTCAAAAGATAAATAAACATTTAAAAAAAATGTAAAAGGCAAGATGAGGGGGTCCTTGTGGTGATGGAAATGTTCCATATGTCAATAGCCTGGTTGTGATACTGTACCAAGGTTTTGCATGATGTTCCCATTGGAGAAAAGTGTGTAAATGGTACATTGCATTTGAATCTACAATGATCTCAAAATTAAAATTTACCTTAAAAAAATAAAAGAAAAAATGTGTTAAGTAGGCTCCTCCTCCTTACCTCAAAGGATCTGCCAGGCTGTCCTGGAACCAGGGCAGGGAACCTCTGGGGTGATTTCCCAGTAGCTGGCATGTTCACCCTGGGTCTCAGCCCACCTTCCAAAGCTGGAGGGGAGTCTGTATTGGGCTGCGGTCAGAATGAATGGAAGATCCCGCAGCCTCCAGTAAGGAGGAAACTCAACAGCTCCACGGGGACACCAAGAAATCCTAAAAGGACAGTATCCATGTCATCAGTGTCATTCTACATTCACACCACAAAATTCAGCACCGCCCACTCTGAGTGTTAGGGTGGATTATGAAAACAATCATGATATCTGAAGTCACACTGATGACCTCAGAGTCCTTGATTCTGGGGTGGCTCCCTAGGGAGCTTCACACCTTACCTAGCCAGCCTACTCCTCAATTCCAGGTTCAGGGTAGATCGGGGTTTGTGGGGAGGGCAGAATTGGGGCAACAAATGGTGCTAAAGCCCTATGAGGTGGACAGAGGAAGGACTTGTCCATGGGGACCTAGTGGGTGACCGCGGAGGCAGGAAACCTGGAAACCTGAATGAAAGGTCTCTCTTCTGCCCTCTTTAATTATTTTGCCACTTATAGGGTGAAAAGTCCCTCTTAAATTCTTCTACAAGAAGCTCTTAACCTCTTCTTTCCAGAAGATGATTCAACATTAATGTTATTTATTAATCAATACATGGCGGGGGGGGGGGGAATGCTGCTATTAAATTACACCAGAAAAGCATTTGACACCATTCTGCAGATATTACTAATAAAACTCCAACTAAAACTAGGGAAGAAGTAAATCACTTAAATATCACAAAAAATCATCTACCAAGCATAGCCCTGAAATATTATGCTAAAAAGTAAAATGATGATGCTATTGCCGTTAAAATTACGAACAAGATAGGGATGTCTGACACGACTCAAAATTGTTTTGCTGGCTCTATGAGAGATGAAACAAGGACAATAAATGTTCCAAGTTAATAGAAATGTGGCTTTCCTTGCCAGTGATATGATTTTACACAAAGAAAACCTGACACTACTAGCATTCAGAGCAGTTTGATAAGGGGCTGGATACCAGGTAAAATTATAAGAGCAGATAATTTTTCCTCTGTAATGGCAACAATAATCAAACAAATGAAAACGGGAAAACAAAAATCCATTAATAATGATAGCAAGAAATACACAAAATATACTTAAGGAGTTGGACGAGTATGATTTAAACAAAAATTGACAAATATAAAATAGTCACACAGATATACCATATCCTTGGATAAGAAAATGTAATAAAAATGTCAACCCTGCCAAAAGCATTATATTAAAGTAATGTAAAGAATAAACAAAAAAGAAACACAAAACTCAATAATAGTAAGATGGTGTGTACAAAATGTGTGGAATGCAGCTAAAGAGATTCTTCAAGAGCAATTCACGTTCTACATGGTTTTTAACAATGAAGAAAGGGTGAACATTCATGAAGTAACGTCTCGACTTAAAAAGTTACAGAGAAAATGGTACAGATAAGAGTAGAAATTAATAGAAAACAAAGGTACATCAGAGAGGATGAACAAGGCCAAAAGTTGGTTCTTTGTGAAGGCTAATAAGATTAGCAAATCTCTGGGGAGACTGATAAGGAAAAACCTAAACACACACTCTATTAAGACTTGACAACAAGAAGCAGCAAGCTATCTAAAAACCTGACCACCCCAGAATCCCTTATCCCTGACCTGCACAGATTCCTATTCACCAGATTCCTTAACTCCCCACCAATGGACCTCACAAACTGACAATTCATCATTCCCAAAAGCCAACAAAGCCATCACCTCAAAACTCACTGATGACTGTCACGCCACAAAACCTCGTGCACTCGCTTTAGCGTCGCGCGCCAACAGGACTTAAACGTCCTCTGAGGGCCACTTCCGTTTCCTGTCCTCACCCCTGACCGTGCCCCTTCTGCGTGGTTGTTCTCGCACACGATCGTAGGGGCTGTGATGCTGTGGTCTACTCACTCCGAGCAAGGTGCAGTTAGGGATCGGCAGAGACTATGTCCACGAGTGGCGTTGTTGGGCGAGGAATATGGCTGTGCCCAGGCTTTCCTCCATGGGGGCCGCCATCTTAGCGCCCATTCCGTACAGTGGGCTGTTCCACCGAAGGCGGGGGCGGGGGGGGGCGTTGTTCAGGGGTAGAAACCTTCTGAAGGCAAGCATTCCAGAAGAGCTGGTCTTTGGAACTGGGTTCTATAGGTCTGTGCAAACGTGACAGAAGCAGAGGTGCCGGGGGGCAGGGGAGATGTGCCCTCATCTTCAAGGGAGAAACCACTGAGGAGAGGGGTAAAAGTCAAGATTAGTTCCCCCCTGGAAGATGTCACTCAGAGGAAAGGAGAAATTAAAATGGTACAGTCCCCCTCCTGACAGATACCTCTGGGCAAGAAAGGGAAGGAGTCGGGGTGGTATAGTCCTCTCCTTGGAGATACCACTGGAAAGAGGGGGGAAACTCAGGTTATTGTTGATCCCCTTCCTGGGCGATACCACTGGAGAAGAGTGGGGAGAGGCACGGTGGTACATTGTTTTGATGTACTGGAATTGGTATTGAGGGGAATTGAATCCCCCTCAATCTCCATTACCTCCATTACCCCACTAAAATGACAGTAGCTAGAAATAAATAATAATAACAATAGCCTTTGATATGGACAACTAATATTTTTTTTCAATATATGAAATTTATTGTCAAATTGGTTTC